AGGGACAGTCTAATGGCTGGAGGTTGGGCAGACCCGGGGGTGATGTCGGGTGACATTGGCTGAGGCCACCAGTGCCTCCACCCACAGCCCCCCAACAGGTTGCTCCTCCAAGGCCCTCTGGGGAAGCCAGGAACAGAAACCAGGTCACTCTGAACTGTGCAGAGTCGTTCAAACAGGTTTTCGTACATTCAGGCGGCTAACAGACACATGAGGAAATGCTCACGATCATTAGCCATTAGAGAAGTGCAAAGCAAAACTACAATGAGATACTATATCACCCCAATAAGGCTAGCATTAATGCAAAAAAAAACCGAAATAATAAATGTTGGAGAGGTTGTGGAGAGACTGTTGACGGGAATGTAAAATGGTACAACTGCTTTGGAAATCGATTTGGCGCTTCCTTAAAAAGCTAGAAATAGAAGTACCATTTGATCCAGCAACCCTGTTCCTTGAAATATATCCTAGAGAAATAAGAGCCGTCACACGGATAGATATATGCACACCCATGTTCGTTGCAGCACCGTTCACGATAGCAAAAAGATGGAAACAACCTAGGTGGCCATCAACAGATGAATGGATAAACAAACTATGGTATATCCACACAATGGAATACTACACAACAATAAAGAACAACGAGGAAGCCGTGAAACATCTGATAACATGGAGGAATCTGGAGGGCGTTATGCTGAGTGAATTTAGTCAGTCACGGAAGGACAAATATTGTATAAGACCACTATTATAAGAACTCAAGAAAAGGTTTAAACACAGAAGAAAATGTTCTTTGATGGTTACGAAGATGGGGAGGGAGGGAGAGGGTTATTCACTAACTAGATAGTAGACAAGAATTATCTTAGGTGAAGGGAAGGACAGCACACACTACAGGGGAGGTCAGCACAATGGGACTAAACCAAAGCTAAGAAGTTTCCTGAATACAGCCAAACACTTGGAGGGACAGAGTAGCAGTGGTGGGGGCCTGGGGACCATGGTTTCAGGGGACTTCTAGGTCAATTGGCATAACAAAGTTTATTAAGAAAATGTCCTGCATCCCACTTTGGTGAGTGGCGTCTGGGGTCTTAAAAGCTACTGAGCAACCATCTAAGATGCATCAATTGGTCCCAACTCACCTGGAGTAAAGGAGAATGAAAAACACCAAAGTCACAAGGAAAATATTAGCTCAAGAGACAGAAAGGGCCACATAAACCAGAGACTCCATCAGCCTGAGACCAGAAGAACTAGATGGTGCCCGGCTACCACCAATGACAGCCCTAACAGGGAATACAACAGAGAGTCCCAGAAGGAGCGGGAGAAAAGTGGGGTGCAGAATTCAAATTCTAGTAAAAAGACCAGAATTAATGGTTTGATTGAGACTGGAGGGACCCCGGAAGACATGGCCCCCGGACTTGCTGTTAGCCCAAAACTAAAACCTTTCCCGAGGCCAACTCTTCAGACAAAGATTAGACTGGACTGTGGGACATAAAATGATACTCGTGAAGAGTTGTGCTTCTTAGTTCAAGCAGATACATGAGACTAAATGGGCAGCTCCTGTCCAGAGGTGAGATGAGAAGCGGAGAGGGTCAGGAGCTGGTTGAATGGACACGAGAAATCTGGGGTGGAAAGGAGGAGTGTGCTGTCACAGTATAGGGAGAGCAACTAGGGTCACATAACAATGTATGTATAAATTTTTATATGAGAGACTAACTGGAATTGTAAACTTTCACTTACAGCGTGAAAATAATAATAATAATAAAAGGTCTCCGTGCTCCTGGTGCCTCAGCCCTGCCAAGTCCCTTGGGGAAAGACCTGTGTCTCAGTCTCTTGGGGCTGCTGTCACAAAGGACCACAAACCCCTGGGGGCCCTGGCTAGAGCTGGGGGGAGGGACTTAAAGCAACCGAAAGCTGTTCTATCGCCATCTGGACGCAGAAGTCTGAATTCCAGGGGTCAGCGGGACCGTGCTGCCTCCAAAGGCTCTAGGAGAAGATCTTTCCTGTTTCCCCTCGTTTCTGGCTTATGGCACTCCTTGACTTGAGGCCACATCACTCCAGTCTCTGCCTCCATCATCATGTGGCCGTCTTCCCCTGTGTGTCCTCTCTGCTTCTTATGAGGACACAGTCACATGGGATCAGGACTCATTCTACTCCCGTGTGACCTCATGTCAACCTGACTATCTTCAAAAGACCTCCTTCCACACAAGGTCACAGTCACAGCTACAAGGATTAGGACTTCAGTGTGTCTTTTAGAGGGACACAGTCCAACCCACAGACACGAGAAAAGACAAGTACAGAGACAGAGCTTCAGAAAGACCGAGAACTTGGGGACAGACTCCAAGAGACACACAGGAAGACACAGACAACAAAGGACAAACCAGAGTCACAGAGCCAACATCTGCACCCCAGGTGTTCGTGTCCACCCACCCCTGAGCTCACTTGCCTGCCTGGGCCATGATGAGGGCTGAGGTCAGGACCTCGGAGTCCCCCAGCCCCATCTCCATACAAGCCACAGGCCCAGGGGCTTCTGGAGTCTGCCTTGGGGCCTGGTCTGCCTGGAGGTGGAGCAGGGGCCGGGCACTGCTCTTCTTGACTGCGGGCCCTTGGCATTCGCTGTTCCCTATGCCTCTGTCTGCTCACGGCCATCTCCTTCCATCTCCCAGCCTCTGCTCACATGTCACCTCTCACAGTCACCCTCCCTGAGCACCCCAGCCATGCTGTCACCTGCCCGGGGCATCTCTTTAACTCAGCTGTCCTGTACGCATGTGTGCACGGGCATCATGTATGGGCGTGTGCAAGTGTGCATGTGGGGTTCACGTGTATGTATGGTTCACATGTTAGTGGGGGCTGAAGCTCAGAGCCGGGCCTAGGGCAGACACCCACGAACACCGACTCTTATTGCTGCTCTTGGGATTGCTGTTGTGTCCACCGAACTGCAAACAACACGGGGACAAGGACACGCCTGTCCCTTTGTGACTGCGGTCCAGATCCCAGTACAGGCCCTGCACACAGGAGGTGCTCAACAGACGCATGAGTGAACCTGGCCCACGGGGGCTCTCAGGAAAAGCAGCTAATTGGTTTGCGTGAAACCCCACTGCTGGATATCAGGCTTAGGGTGGCGTCGTCCCCACCTGAGTGCAGGGAGGAGGGGCCACGAGGCAAGACCCCCCCCCCCCACTGAGAGGGAGCCAGCTCTGGGCTCTGCCTCAGTAGCCATTTGGCCACCTGGGACTATGAGCATCACTGGCCCATCCTCTGGGGAAGGGGTGAAGGTGAGGCCTGATGGGCTGGCCAGAGCCCAGTCAGCTGACTCCTCATGCTGCCAGCAGAGGGCGCCTGGAGCCCACTAGCTGACTCAGGTCTGGGCTAGGCTGGCCGCTGCCCCAAGGACTGCCCCAAAGTGGCCCTCCAGCCTCTGGAAAGGGGCAGCTGCGCCTGACGGCCTCTCCCCTCTTTCCACTAGTGCCTCATTCTCTGCCAGATGCTCAGCCCCAGGTCTTGTCTACCCCCTATGACCCCCACCTTGTCTGGGGCAAGAGGCCAGCTAAGCCCTGGGGCCATCTGGGCCCTTCTTTGGCTTGGGAGACTTGGAGCCAGGGGAAGGGCTGGCAGCAGGCACCAGCCTTCCCCTTCTCCTGGGGCCTTTTGACCTCTGCCAGCCATGTGCCTTCAGCCCAGTGGGGCTGGAGGGCCGGAGGGGCAGGCCTGGCAAGGGAGGCAGTGGGGTAGGGGGCTCACATCCTGCAGACTCCACAGAGTCTGCAAGCTCCGGAAACCTGACTTGGTCTGGGGTCCCACCATCAACGCTGGTTGAAACTCCTCCATGCCTAAGGCCGTTTGTGATCTGACCTATGGCCCCTCCCCTGCTCCTCCTGGCCCTGGGCCTTCACCCACTCAGCAGTCAGGAGCCCTATCCACACCTGTAACCTCTTCCCCTCTGCCTGGAACACCCTCTCCCTTCTCCACTTGGCCAGTGGCTCCCCACCCTCAGGCGGAGTTCAGAGGTCTTTCCTCAGGGAAGTCTCCCACCACTCCCCTGGGTCTTCACACTGACCCCCGGGCAGTTCCTTCTCTCTGGGAGTCGGCCCTGGTTCAGCTCGTGCGGGCTTTGTGGGGCCGATGCTGCAGCTTGCTCAGCCCGTGTCCTGGTGCCTGTTGTCAGGTCATTCAAACTCCTCCAGAGAGCCACAGCGTCACTGTCATTTATTTGACAAACATGCAGTCACGGTGTTGGCTTGAGAAAAAGGCTGTTGGGAGAGCGGGTCTGAGCCTGCTCCGGCCGCCCTCTCCACAACGCCTCTCACCTCTCTGCCAGCCAGTCTCCCCAAGATCCAGAGGCTGGTCCCTGGAGGCCCTGGCTAGAGCTGGGGTGAAGCGTGTGCCCAGCTCCAAGCCCAGCTCCCCGGAGGTGAGGGGAAGGCAGCCCGGCAGTCTCCGCGTCCAGGTGATGGCCATTCTTCCCTGGGGTACCCGCTGCCTCTCGGGGAGGGGCTGGCAGGGCCAGGTTGGGGGTGGGACGTGGGCTGGAAGGGGCCATGCCTCGCGGTGAGCTGGCCTCCAGCCAGGATGTTCCTGCGGGCACCACCTGCATCCTGCCCCGACCAAAAGCTCCGGGGACAATGGCAGGACCAGGAACGCGCGGCACGGCGAGCCAGACGTGGGGGCCGAGAGGGGCCGCCCAGAGAACGAGGCTGGGGGTGGGAGAGGGTCGGGGGCTGGAACGCGCGTCCGGCCGCGGGTCCCCTCTCCCAGCTACCAGCCCCGCCCCCGCGAGCGCCGCTGCCATTGGCGGAAAGTTCCGGGGCAGCGTCGCGATTGGCCGCCCGCCGCCGCCCCGCCCCCGGCTCGCCGCGCACCAAAGCGGACCGAGGGGGCTGCGCTGGCCGGCGAGCGGCCGCTGGCTGTGGGGCTGCACCGGGGCGGGCGGCCGGCGCCCCGGGTGCTCAGCCGCCGCCCGTCCCAGTCCCCTCGGGCCGGCTCCCGAGACCCGAGACCCCGGTCGGTGCCCGTGCGCCATGCCTCCCCCAGCTCTGCTCCGCGCGCTCTGCTGCGCCCTCCTGGCCGCAGCCGCCCGCGCCGGCTTCTCCGGGGACCGCTGCAGCTGGAGGGGCAGGTACGACCCGAGAGGAAGCCAGCGTGGTCCCCCCGGACTGGGGTCCCCCTTAGGAGGGATGGGGGCGGCACCCACCCTTTGGGATGGGGGGCTGTCTAACCGGCACCGAATCCCTCCCCTCCCCCGGCGTCCCGCGAACGCTGGGCCTCAGTTTTCTCCTCCACAAAGTGGGCGCGACTGTTGGCGGATGCAGAAGATGCGGTGGGCGGCTGGGCCGGGCGGGGACACGGGGCGCTGGCTCAGCGCCTCCGGTCCTGTCCCCAGCGGCCTGACCCAGGAGCCCAGCAGCGTGGGGCAGCTGGCCCTGGCCTGTGCAGAGGGCACCGTGGAGTGGCTGTACCCAGCCGGGGCACTGCGCCTGACTCTGGGCCGCCCCGACCCTGGCGCGTGGCCTGGAGTCGCCTGCCTGCGGCCCGCGCAACCCTTCGCAGGCGCCCAGGTCTTTGCTGAGCGGGCCAGTGGCGCCCTGGAGCTGCTGCTGGCTGAGGGCCCAGGCCCAGCCAGGGGCCGCTGTGTGCGTTGGGGCCCCGGCGAGCACCGGGCCCTCTTCCTACAGGCCACACTGCATCGCGACATCAGCCGCCGGGTGGCCGCCTTCCGCTTTGAGCTTCGGGAGGATGGGCTTCCTGAGTTGCTGCCCCAGGCTCATGGCCTCGGTGTGGACGGTGAGTGACCATCCAGGTGGGGCCGGGTGGGGTCATGAAGGCTTGATGGGAATGTGCCTGCATCAAACCCATTGTACAGAGGGAGAATCTGAGGCCCCAAGGGCCAAGTGCTTGTCAAAGACCACAGGGCTAGCTAGTGAGACCCAAAGGAGGAAGGGTCGCTGGACCTGGGGTGCCCCCTCCTGATCCATCTTAGACAAGAAGCTGTTGACAGAGGGCAGAATGGAGGGGGGTGGCCAGGCAGGGCAACCTCCTGCCGCTGGTCCCTGAAGGGTTGCGACTGGGTGGGGGAGGGGATGGCCAAAGCTGCCCAGGCCCCCTGGCCCAGCCGTGACCTCCCTCCCCTCCCCCAGCCAACCAACAAAAGTCCAGTGTGCTGCCCCGTTGCCATGGAGACGCCACCCGCCTCCCCGCAGGGCAGCAGGCCCAGCTCTTTACTTTTCTGGACCTTGCAGCCTGACCTCACAGGGGATGGGAGTCTCTGTTCTGTCCCCTGACCCGAGGCCAGGCCCCAGAGCCCACCATAATCCTTGCCACCCTGAAGCTGGCTGGTCCTGGAGGTCACAGGGGACTTCCAGGCACTGGGTGTGTAAATGCAAGGTGGGGGTGTCCTCCCCCGCCCCGTGCTGGGCATAGCCCCAGGCCTCCACGTGTTTGCACATGAGTGCACCCCAGTGGAGGTGTGGCTTCCGGGTGCAAGCACATGTGTGCTGTGGGGCTCCCTCCAATGCTCTGGGGTCCCCAGCTGCCATCCAGGTCTGAGAGAGGAGTTTGGCTGCTTGGCCCTCCCCTTCTTGTCAGGGAGGCTCCTGGGGGGATACAGGATGGGCAAGGCTAGGCTGACGGCCCACATTCCCAGGTGCCTGCAGGCCCTGCAGTGACACCGAGCTCCTCCTGGCTGCGTGTACCAGCGACTTTGGTGAGTGTCTGCCGTGGGAGGACGCCGGGGCCTGCCCTCCCTGCACGCCTGCCACTGGCCATGTGTCTCTCACAGTAATCCACGGGGCCATCCACGGGGTCACCCATGACATGGAGCTGCAGGAGTCTGTCATCCTTGTAATGGCCACCCGTGTCCTCCGCCAGACGCTGCCACTGTTCAGGACGGGGGGCGCAGGGGCCCAGGTGCAGGCCTCCATCCGCACCCCACTGCACTGTGGCGTGCGCCCAGGCCCTGGCACCTTCTTCTTCATGGGCTGGAGCCGCTTCGGCGAGGCCTGGCTGGGCTGCGCCCCTCGTGTCCAGGAGTTCGGCCGTGCCTATGCGGCCGCGAGCACTGCCCACCTGCTTCCCTGCCAGGTGGCGCTAGGCTGAGGGGGACTGGGAGTGCCACTGGGGGGGGGGTGTCTCCCCTGGACAGGGTGCTGGGGCAGGGCTGGTGGGAGGGTGGGTGGAGAGGGGGCCTCCAGATGGCATCATGATACCAAGGGCTTCTGAGGCCATATTGATAATAAGAACATCAATGACGTTAGCCAGTGTTGATGAAGTCTGTGCCTGAGCCAGCCCTGTCCCTGCCTCAGCTCGTGTCATCCCCTCAGCCCTGGGCTGCTGTGTTCTCACCTCACAGAGGGGGAGACTGAGGCTGGGGGCTGCCAGCTAGTAAGGCTGGAGGAGGGGCCACGCCTATGCCCCGGGAGGGGCTGCTGGATGGGGTGGGAGATGCAGGGACCCCCACTCACTTGCTGTCCCCCAACTCCAAGGTGCTCCCGTGGCTCAGAGCAGAAGTGGGAAAAAGGCTGTGGTGCCTGGGGTCCCTCAGATGATCGGGGGCAGGCGGACACTGCTCCCCAGTCCGGAGTCTGGCCGGTGAGGGAAGAGGCTGAAATTGGCGGGGGCCAGCCTCCCTCCCTCTGAGTGGCAGAGTCATCCTTGGCCGTCCTGCCCTTGGGAAGAATGGGCCCCTCTATCCGGAGGCCCTGCAGGACGTGCCTGGCATCCCTACTGGAGCAGTGGGTGTGGGGTCTCCCGCGGGGTCTGCTCTGCTGCTTCCGGCGGGCACAGTGGTATCTCTCAGGGCTGTTTCCCGCCACTTGCCCATTGTGGCGCCCCCTCCCTCCCAGCATCCAGTACAAAGGGCAGCGCGGGACGAAGGATCTGGCTCACAAAGGCTGCAGGGTGGGGCGGGCGCGGGCCACGGGCCAGAGCCAGCGAGCTGACTCCTCATCTCAGCCCGTGGCTCCTGGTAAGGAGGCCCCTCGGCGTTAAGGCAGAGCACTGAGGTTGGGAGAGAGGCAGGGCTGTGGAGGTCCCCCACAGGCAGGGACAGATGACCCAATAAACAAGGTAAGCACTGCCTCAGTTGTGCTTACTTATTAATCTGTAGCGAACAATTTCACATTTTTCACACGTTGTTATCGTTAGGTGCCGTCTGGTGGGTTCTGACTCAGTGACCTCACACACGACAGAAGGAAACACTGCCCGGCCCTGCGCCATCCTCACAATCATTGCTCGGTTTGAGCCCCTTATTGCAGCCAGTGTCAACCCAACATGGGAAACTGTTCACTACAGATTAGTAAGTAAGCACAAGTAAGCCCATGCTTACCTTGCTTACTGGATCATCTGCCCTGTCAAGAACTGTAAATTTGAAGAGGCTTTGATTCTGTAGGGAGGTGCTGGGGGGTTGGGAGACAGACACCAGCCATACCTAGTGGTCTTTGATGTGGTGAAGGAGTGAAATTGTTCACTACAGATGACCTGATAAGTAAGGTAAGCACCATGCTTACCTTGCCTATCGGCTAATCCGCCCCTGCACAGGACCCCCTCCAGTCGCCACTCTGGGCGGGGTGTCTGAAAGCTGCCCGTTTGGGGAAGGGGGGGCTGCTCTTGTGCTCAGAACACCTTTACTTCAGGGGCCGGTGAGGATTCTGGTGGGGGGTAGAGGCACCCCTGGATGACCCACTCCCCTGGGCCCTCCACCTCCCCCTGCTCCCCTTGGAGCCCTTCTGCTTCCTCTCATCTCCCTAAACACCCAACCCCGCACCTCCCCTCCCCATCCACATTCCCTCCCTGGAGAACTGGATGAGCCTCGGGGCTTTAAATGCCACCAACACACAGAGGGCCCCATCACTTTCATCCCCACCAGGACCTCTCCCCTGGACTCAGACTCAGATCCCACCCTTCCTCCCCAGGTGTCTCCACTGGGAGGCTTTCCCCTTGTCCGGAGAGGGCCCCAAGGAAGGCTTCCCCTCCAGATTGAGCAGCACTCACCCACCCTGATCTTTAAACGCGGTGGGCAGCTGCTCTGGGCTGGGCCCTGGCCTCTACCCACCTGGCCAAGGAAGTGCCTGTGCGTCGTCTGCAACCAGTCCTTCTCTCAAAGGACATAGAGAGGAGAGACCGGTGGGGCTCACGGGGCCAGGAGCACACCGCGATGGCCAGAACACCTCAGAGGGCTGGGTCAGGGGCTTTGTGAGCCCTAGGGGGACGTGGCCAGGGTGTGTGGGACTGGAGCTGAACCAGGGCTGCAGCTCTGAGGTAACCCACGGGCCACACCTCCAGCTGTGTGCAAGCCAAGTGCACGTGTGTGCAAATTCACATGGGCACTCAGAGCATGGAGTGCCGGTGTGAACATGAGTGGTGTGGGGTGTGTGCGTGAGGACTCGGGGTGCGTTCATCCAACAAGCTTTTATTAAGGGCCTTTGGGGAGCCAGGCACTGCTCTGGGCACGGGGAATAATGCAAGGAGCGAGATAAGAATGGGGTGTTGTGGAAGCACTTCCCCAGCCCAGGGCCCAGGCATACCCCTCTCCTGAGGGCCAGTCCCAGCCCCACAGCAGCCTCCCAGGAGATCCTCTATGGCAGGTGGGGGTCAGACCTCCTTTCCAGTGCTCTCTTCTCGGGAGCAGTGGGATGTGTTGCGGGTCAGCAGGGCTTTCCTGCCGCCTGGTGACACTTGTCCTTCAGGAAGGAGCGTGAGGCACTCCACACTTGAAGCGGGGTGCAGTGGTCTCAGGCCTGCCCACACTGTCTGGGAAGCAGCCCGGCTGGGCCTCTGGACCAGGGCTGTGGAGGCTGAGAAGGGGCAGGTCAGACAAGCTCTGACACTCACAGGTGTGTGGTCTCCAGGTGAGGCGAGGTCCTGCCTCATCAGCCTGACCAGGGCTGTGTTCTCCCACTTGGCTCCCTCACCCCTAGGCTTTCTACGTCCTGTCCAGGAACGCCTGTCTTTTTGGACGTTTCTGGAGGAAGGTGGTGTCTCCAGTTCCTGGGACTCTGACTCCCACCCCCAGGCTGGGCGAGCCGCCAGAGACCCCTGACATCCGGCTCCCCCATCCCACACTCAGTCAATGGAGAGCCAGCCTCTGTCTTTTCAGGCAGCCCGATCTCTCCTCCTCCTCGTCAACCCTCCTCTCCCCCAGAACCGTCCCCTTCTTTGGACCCCAGCCCTCCTCCAGTTTCAAGCCCACCCAGCTAATTGCCTTCGGCTGTAGGAGGGACCGGACGAGTGTCGTTTCGCGACTCCTCCCGGATTTGGCCGGCTTTCGGGGTGTCCTGGTCAGTGGAGCCCCCACCAGTCTCCCTGAGATGGAGCCGCAGAGGGAGGCTGGCTGCAGACCCCTGGTGAGCCTCTCTCCCGCCTGTGCTCCAGCCTCGGCAGGAACTGTATTCTCTGGGCCAGGACACCGCGTGGGCTCCCCTCCCGTCGAATCGCAGCGCCACGTTCCATAGGGTGTTTAGCCCTCCCTGAGATGGTCGGGTGCTGTCTCCCGTCTCCCCACGCCAGGTTGTGCGCTCCAAGGGGTCCCCGGCGCCCAGGGCAAGCCCAAAATAACCAACGAGCGACCGGACTATCGCAGGCTTCGCCACAGGGCACGGCGGGGCCAGACCCTGCGAGGGTCGCCGCTCACTAGGGCTGCCCACGACCGTGGGGCGAGGGTCGACGCCGTCGCGACGCGGAACTCGCGGGAATGGCCCTGGGCCCGGCCGGAGTGGATGCCGCAACGGACCAGCCGCGCGGCCTCGGCCCCGCCCCTCACTTCCGGCGTCTCTGCCGCGGCACCGGAGAACGCGGGCGGAGGAAGCGGTGCAGGCCGGGGCGGTGGGGCGGGCGGTCCCCTCTAGCTCCCGAGCCATGGCGTAAGGGGCTCCGATCCGAGCCGGGGTGGGACCTGGGGGCGGGGCGATCCTGAGCCGCGTGTCCCGCAGCCATGGAGCAGGACGACCCGACCGAGGCGCTGACAGAGCTGCGTGAGCGGCGCCTGGGCGCGCTGGAGCTGCTGCAGGTGGCGGCAGGCTCCGGCCTGGCAGCCTACGCCGTGTGGGCCCTGCTGCTGCAGCCGGGCTTCCGTCGCGTGCCCTTGCGGCTGCAGGTGCGGGGCGGGGCCTGGCTGGGGGCGGGGCCTGGCTGGGGGCGGGGCTGAGAGGGCGGTGTAGCCCCTGCCGGGCGGGGGCGGAGCTTGCAAATAAGCGGCTGGGCACAGGTGAGGGGAGGGTGACGGCAGCTCCAGGTGGGGCGGGGCGGGACCCGCAGCTAGGGAAGGAAACCCAGGTGGCAAGCCCCTTCCACTACAGGGTGATCTAGGTATCTGGAGGAGTGGGTGCGGCCAATGGACTCCAGCCCTCCCAGCCCCGCCCCCCTCGCGCAGGTGCCGTACGTGGGAGCGAGTGCGCGGCAGGTGGAAAATGTGCTATCGTTGATGCGAGGTCGCCCCGGAAAGATGGTGGATCTGGGCTCTGGCGACGGGAGGATCGTAAGCTGCCCTTCTTTGCTGCCCCCTCCTGCGAGCGCCGCACCCCCGCCTCCTGGTCCCCATGCCTGCTCCCTGCCCACAGGTGTTGGCGGCCCACAGGTGCGGCCTCCGCCCGGCCGTGGGCTACGAGCTGAACCCGTGGCTGGTGGGGCTGGCACGGCTGCACGCGTGGAGGGCGGGCTATGCCAGCAACGTCCGCTACCTCCGTGAGGATCTCTGGAAGGTAACCAGTGGGTTCTACACCTTTCAGACCCCACATCTAATCACCTGCCATCTGGGTGCACTGGGGGCTGGGCCTCGGAAGCTGCAATGACCCTCATGCCCTTTCCCCTGGCTGGGACCCTGGTCCCTGCTGAGGGATTTCTTCCTGCAGGTGAGCCTGAGGGACTGCTACAACGTGTCTGTGTTCCTGGCTCCCAGCGTGGTAGGTCTGGGCTGCACCACGGGGGTGCTGCTGCTTTGGGACCTGGGGACCAGCCAGTGGTAGTTGCTGGGCCTGGTGGAGCTTGGTAGGCGGCTGTGTGGTTCCCTGCCCATGCCCCGACTCTTCTCTCCCACAGCTCCCAATGCTGGAGGCCAAGCTGCAGGCGGAGCTGCCCGTGGGAGCCCGCGTGGTGTCTGGGCGCTTCCCCCTCCCCACCTGGGAGCCCGTGGCTGTGGTGGGTGAGGGCCTGGACAGAGTCTGGGCCTACGACGTCCACTGTGATGGGCTAGCCAGGGAGGTTCCCTTCTCTCCAGGGACCCCCATCCAGGCTGCTGTGGACCCTGGGGCCCCTGCCTCTCATACCGGCTGTCAGACGCAATAAAGACTTGACTCTGCCCTGAGTTTTGTTTAGTGGGGCGCTCCACTGTTAGCTGAGGAGGGTCTGCTCCGTTTTCCTGGATTAGCGGCTGCGGGTTCTTGGACGCAGGGGCTTGGCTGGTGGCACAACCCCCACTTTCGAGGGGTCCCCCGTGCCCACCAGCTTTCTCAGCCTCAGGATCTCCTGCTTGTACCTGTTGGGAGGGGCCAGGTTGAAATCCCCTGCCTGGCTGGGGACAGTGGCGTCTTCCCTCCCACACACTGAGGCCCTGGGTTCAGCCCACCTGCTCAGGTGCTGGTCCACGTACTCCTGTAGCTCAGAGAGCTGAGCCTCGGCCGCCATAGCCCGGGCCAGCAGCTGTGCTCGCTCCTGTTCCAGCTCAGCCTGGTGTGCAGGAGGAGGCGTGAACCTAGGGCATAGGTGAGTCCCCGC